GAATGATGTGGTCAAAAGGACCGAGTTGGGCAACAATGGTCGGGAAGAATCATAATGGGGTAAGGAGATCAGAAGGATTGTAGTCGGGCGACAGAAATTCAAAAGAATTATAGTTGGGCAACGATTGATCGGAGAGATCATAGTCGGGCAGGCCTATAGTAGTCAGAATTCAGACGATAATTGATTGGAAGGATTGTAATATCACAGTGAATCTCTCCTATTATTATTATTATTATTATTATTATTATTATTATTATTATTATTATTATTATTATTATTATTATTATTATTATTATTATTATTATTATTATTATTATTATTATTATTATTATTATTATTATTATTATTATTATTATTATTATTATCATCATCATCATCATTATCATCAACATCATCATCATAATTATCATTATTATTGTTGCATGCCTTAACATTCATAGTGATAGAGAGGTGTGAAATCCCTTAAGTAAAAAAACTAAACTCATAAACATTGAGGTGCATTTTATCATCATCATCATCATTATCATCAACATCATCATCATAATTATCATTATTATTGTTGCATGCCTTAACATTCATAGTGATAGAGAGGTGTGAAATCCCTTAAGTAAAAAAACTAAACTCATAAACATTGAGGTGCATTTTAGTGTAATAGTTGGAATTTCATTAAGAAACTCCACAGTTAAGTTTACTCGTCTTGGAGTAATTATGAGATGAGTGACATACTATGAAGTTACACCAACAGAGCAAAATCGTGAGGCTCTTAAACCAAAGCGGATAATATCTCGATAATTAATAGTTTGGGCTGTTATAAATGGTATTAGAGCCATACACCGGCCAGAAGGTAGGAATTAATTAAGAGTCATACAAAACAAAGTGTTACGCCATGGGAGCCACCTATTAAACCATTATGTGACAAAGTGCTTCATAACGGGAGCCACCACTTGAACTTAAACTTGAACATGTAGGGGCCACCTCTAGAATCATATCAGCCTCGTGAATGATGCTGGGATACATATGAGGACGTCAATTACTTTAGTGGGAGAGGGTTTCACCTTAAGTAAAAGAAGCTAAACTCATGAACATCGAGACGCCTTTTAGTCTAATGGTTGGAATTTCCTTAAGAAACTCCACAATTAAGCGTACTCATCCTGGTGCAATTTTCGGATGAGTAACATATTGGAAAGTTACACCAACAAGATAAAATTATGAGACATTTTGATAAAAGCGAACAATGTCTTCATAGTTAAGAGTTTGGACTGTTGCAAGAGTTATAAAGAGATTAACGTCCTAGTTTTATATGAAGATTTAGTATACAAACAAATAGAAGTGTGGGTGTGAGAATCATAAGAGACACTAGATTTTTTATTTGGTAAATCAAGGAAAGAAAAAAATCTTGAGATCTAGCCCACAAATGATTTAACTAGTATTTATCATTGATTACAAATGATGCCCTGCATTGGAGGAAGACGTTGGCACAACATAACAAATATAAATTATATAGAGCACATTACAAAGTTGACATTAGAAGAATCTAAAGGCATGAGACATGGACTTAAGATATCTTTGGCCCATTTTTTTGGTAGGCAAGTCTATGGTCGGGTGACGATGATCGGAAGGATCGTAATCGAGCGACGATGGTCGGAGGTATCATAGTCGGGTTGCTGAGGATGGAGGGACCATAATCAAGCAACATAGATCGAAGGGATCATAGTCATCAACATAAATTGGAGGGTCCGTAGTTGGGCAACGATGGTTAGTGGTACCATAGTCGGATGACAGTGGTATGAAGACCGTAGTCAAGCGATAGCGATCTAAGGACCATAGTGGAACAATGATATTTTGAGAACCATAGTTAATGAAAGAATGTGGATTGATGATAGTAGTTAGGTGCTTAAGGATCACAGTCGAGTGATGAAGGTCCAAGGACTAAAGCCAGTAAGGGATGGAGGTCGAAAGGACTACAATTCAGTGTCGCTAGTCCGAGTGTTATAGTCGACATGTAATAAAGGTCGAATTGATCATAGTTAGGTTGCGGTGGTCAGACGGACCGTAGTTAGGTGATAGTTGTCAAAGGGATCATAGTTAGGTGACTAAGGTCGGAGGGATCATAGTCAAACAACAGAGGTCAAAGGGGCCATAGTCATCAGCATTGGTATGAGGATCGAAGCTGGGCAACTGTGGTTCGAGGACTGTAGTCAACTGGCAATAAAGGTCTGAAGGATCATAGTCAGGTGATGATGATATGAGGTCATAGTCGAGCAATAATGGTTTAATGATCATAGTTCAAAAGCCATAGTCGACAGATAATAAAGGTTGGAGGGATTATAGTTAGGCGATGAAGGTTAGAGGGACTATAGTAAGGTGTTGAGGATCTGATATCATAATCGGATGATGGTAGTCCAAGGACATAACTATTAGGCGATGGAGGTTATAAGGATTGTATTCTAGCGACAATGGTCTAAGGATTGTAGTCAATGAAAGGTGGTATGAGTAATATAGTTGATAGGCAATTGAGGTTGGAAGGATTGTAGTCGGACAACTCAGGTCGGAAAGATTATAGTTGGGTGATGGAGGCCAGAGGGACCATAGTCGGGCAACTAAGGCTGGAGAAACCATAATCAATGATGGTGGTTTGAGGGACCATAATTAGGATACACAAGCAGGAGATATTATAGTTGAATGACAGTGGTCAGACTGATCTTACTCGGGTAACTGAGGTTAGAGGGACCATAGTTAGGTGACAGTGATTCGAGGGATCTTAGTCGGTGAGTGACATAGGTTGAAACTATAGTAGTTGGGTGACTAAGATGGAGGAATAATAGTTGGCAGGCAACGAGGTTCTGTGGGTTTATATTTGGGCATTGAGGTAGAAGGATTGTTGTCTATGAGCGATTGAGGTCGGAAGGATCATAGTTGGAAGATAGTGGTTAGAGGATCGTAGTCACACAATAGTGGTCTGAGGACTGTAGTCACATGACAGTGGTTCGATGATTGTATTCAGGTGTGGGTGACTGAGGTGGGTGAGATTGTAGTCGACATATGGTCGAAAGATGGTGGCCAAGAGACGAAAGGTCTGACGGTAGTGGCAGGGTGAAAGTCGGGTGGTAGTGGCCTTGCAGAGGCTTGTCGTGTAACAACTCAATTTTTTGAAAATAAATTTAAAATGAAAAAATAATTTTTTAAAAAACTAGAACACTGTGGCGTTGAGCTTGTGACACTGCGGCACTATGCCTTTGAGCATAATCGTGCTAGAAATCTCTGCCATGGCCTTAAAGTCTTTGTTCTTGTTCTATAGTAATTATATATTCATCATGCTGTATAAATTGACTTTTTAAGGGAGGGAAATGAAATATTCCTCCTCAAAGTTTGTTCTCAGGGAAATTATTGATGTTATATCTTTTGGAGGAATTGAGAGAAACTCTCCATTTTTTAAATAGGTGAAATGTCATTGGACAAAGGAAATTTAAAATTTTTATGAGATCATTTTGGTATAAAACTATCAGCTACTACCTATCTATTTTTATGCAGTGATCATTTAATGATTTGATCTTGGTTGATACTTTTCTATAAGAAAGGGACTTCTTTTTGCCTCAAAATGTCAATACCCGGAACATATTGAATATACTCAATATATTTTTATATCTAATGTGTTTTCCATTAAAAACTAATCTCATATTGCCTGTTGTTTTAACATTAATTTAGTATCGACTATTATATTAACACCTAATACTACAGTTGAGCCAAATGTTAAATCTCTGCTAAATCTTTTTTTTTTTTGTGAAAAATCTTAGAAAAGGGGAAAAACTACGGGACCTAGCCCAGTTGAACTGATTCTGATTGTAGTTGGGTCAGAAGGACTATAGTCGGGGGACAATGGTCAGAAGGACCACAATCCGATGACAACGGTTAAAAGGAATGTAGTCGGGTGATGGCGATCGAAAGAAGGATCGTAGTTGGGTGATGGTAGTTGGAGGAAAGCTTCCTCCGGACATTGGCTGCCAGATGGAGGTCCAATGATGATGGTCGGGTAAAGGTCCAACAGTGACAGCCTCTTGGCACAGATTCATAGACGGTAAAGGTGTCGGAGGTTTTTGAGCTCCAGGATTCTTTAAAGACTCATAGATCTCCAAACCCGCTACCCCCCCCCCCCCCCGCCCCCCACCTCCCTCCCGCCCCCCCTCTCCCCTCCTCCCCCCACCCCCCCCCCCCCCCCCCCTCATGTGACGTATGAACAGTGATCTATTAAATTTTTTTTGGAGTGACGTTTTTGCTCGAATAAGAATAAAGCGATATCCTGGATAAATTTGGATTTTTCCATCGGCGACAGATATCAATCTCTAGTCAATAACATTCTTTAAAAATATTTATGTTTTAATAATGTTAAATTTAGCGATCTTTGAGCTCGTTGAATTTGTCTCATCGAGCCGCTCGATTCTAATTAAGCATTATTATATTTTGGATATCATTTGATCAACTAATGCTTTGAAACTTTCAATAGGCTTTTGGTCCTTTGATTTGGGCCCATTTGGGCTATGATTGAAACCAAATTAGTGTCGTTAGGTCTGTCTCCTTGAAATTGTTCAATTGGACTATTAATTTATTGAAATCAAAGCATTGGAAGGTTCTGTAAACTAATTCAAAAATTTTTAAATTCCATTTACCAACAAGATTCGTGTCCAACCAAGGACTACTTTTTTGTGACATGATGAAATTATTTTTTTCATTCTACAAGTTCTTTAACAAGGAGAGACAATTTTTGACTATTTATATATATTAATAAAAGATCTTATAATATGATTCAAAATCAATAAATTAACTCTTCAAAATCAATAGATTAATATAAAAAAATTCAAAACTTTATTATTGTCCTGAAAATTTAATAAAAATTTTATCATGCATTTTTTTTTTCACAATTCCAATAAATTGAACAGCAAACAAGCTGGAGACTGCAGCGCTGATCTTCAGCCTTCAGGCCAACGGTACTCACGCAAAGCTAATTGCAATCAAGCTATGGAAGATATCTATATATCAAACCTTTTAGAGAAATTACTAACAAGTAGCTAATAATGGAGATCATATACATTAGAATCAGCCGCATAGCAGCCCAGAATTCGAACGAAGACGGAGAACCCTGCTATCTCCTCAAGGGCCTCCTGAACCCTAAAATCCTCCGTCGAACCCTCAAAATCCACATAAATTAGATGAGAAAAAGCACGGAGAGAACCCATAGCCTTCACATCGAGCACCATCACCGGCCCTTGCCCCTCAATTGAAGGGTTATTCACCTCCAGCTTCGTCAGATTGATGTTCCGAGAAGAAAAAGCAGAAAGTACCTTGAGGAGCACCATCATCGAACCCCCGCGATGCGCCACCACCATACTGGTCTTCGCCTTGCCTGAGACAGTCGTAGCCGCAGTTACTGGCTTCGACAGCAGAAGGAAGCGCGTGACGTTCCATGACGCGTCCTGGAGGCCATCGGCGAGGACATCGAGGCCGTAAAGGAGCCCGGCGCGAGGGCTAGCGATGGCGGCGGTGTCTAAAAGGCGGTGAGATCGGAGCATCTGAACGGCGCCGGCGGTATCCTCGACAGGCTCGCGACGAAGGCCGAGTTGGGAAATTGCGCGGCCGCAGTGCGCCAGCGCCATCGGATGGCTAATCACGCGGCGGAGCTCGGTGGTACGGACGCCGGGCATCGCGAGGAGGCAATAGTGGACGAAGAGGCTGATCTCCTGTGTGATCCGAAGGTCGCGTCGGAGGAGGAGGTCGTAGTTTCGGAGGGCGGTGCCTTCCATGGTGCTCTCGACTGGGAGGACGGCACGATCGGCTCGGCCGTTTTCCACGGCCGCGATCGCATCGGAGAAGGAGCGGCAGGGGAGGGTTGCGCAGTTAGGGATCGCGGTCTTTGCGGCGAACTCGCTGTAGGCGCCATGGGAGCCCTGGAAAGCGACTCGAAGGGAGAGGCAAGGATCATCAGAGGGAAATCCATTGATGCCGTTGACGCGAAGTTTGTTTTTAGCGGAGGCCGAGACGACGGAGAGAAGCCGGAAGTTGTGATTTCGGCGACGTTCGGAAAGAGATGGAGAGTTTGGTGGATTTAGATGAGCGACGGCGGCCATGGATGGAGGATTGGTGATTGATGGAGGAATGAGAGAAGGGGAGGGCTAGTGATTTGGTAAAAGGAAGAGGGGTTTTCTGCTTCTTCGAGAAAACTAGCTTCGAACGCTCATTGTATTTATTTTACAGGAATAAAAAAAGATGCTTCCGATGCAATAATTTCAATCGTGGTCACAGAAACTTCAAATTGTTTAGTTTGATTATGTACGCATTATTTGGAGTATGATGTGGAAAGGAATGGGTGGCAGGTGAGTGGGGATGCCAGATCGGATTAGCGGGACCTATTTGGGTGTATTGCAAAGTTCGTCCAGCCTATGTATAATTTATTAGAATTGTGTACTGGAGGAGAAATTATTATGTGGGGACGCTGGATGCAGTTTTACATTTGGAGGAGAGTTAAGTGCAACCACGTCAGCATATGAAGCCGTGATACCGAGCAATATTGAGCCACGGAGTCGAGCGAAGGGGAGACGTGGTGTATTATGGTTGGTCTCTGGACGACATTTGACGTCCACATAGAATAATTTTTCGTATTGGAGCCATGCTCTTCTTACCCTCATCCCCTCCATCAAAATCTTTATCTCATTTATCTATGCACCTAATTGTGAACATGACTAAACAATGAATCATTATTGGTGATTTCAATTGTATTAAAAAGATTAATGAGAAAGTCACATTAATGCTATTAAGGAACGACAAATAGATGTATTCACTAAACTTCAATCTAATTCATTATATAGTATTATCCTTGCTGCTAACCTTTCTAATAAAAAAGAACTGATTCATGCCTCAACATGTGCAAACAACTGGATCAAACAAAGAGCAAAGTACAACAGGCTCTCTAAAGGGGATGATGATATCAAATTTCTTTATTATAAACTTGAAAGAAGAGCGAACAAAAACAATATTTGGGAAATTTCTGGTGATGAAGATCCTATTCACAATCAGAATGGTGTTGTTGTTGAGGTCATTAAATACTTTCACACTCTTTTCAATAGAAACACCTCTTAAAACATCCATGATGATAATATCCCTCTTGGCCCCAAACTTTTGGACATTGATAGATGCAACCTTGTTGATAATTTCCATCATGAGGAAATTAAATTTGCTTTGTTTGATATTGGAAATGATAAAGCCCATGGTCTTGGTGGTTTTAATGCTCAATTTTTTAAAATACATGTGATATTAGTGGAGAAGACTTCATCCTAGCCATAAGACATTTCTTTCTAACTTCCTTTAGGCCTTTTAGAGTGAAACATGATGCTATTATCTTATTCCACAAATCCATACATATCTCCACAATGGCAGATTTCTGACCAATTTCCCTTTGCCATGTTACATATAAAGGGGTTGCTAGGCTTCTTGCTAATATGCTCAAACATGTTCTTCCTAATTTAATTCATAATGCTCAAGTTTCCTTCATTGATGGGAGACACATTATTGATAATATTATTCTTGCCAATGAAATTTTAAGAGGCTACAATTCCTCCTCCAATACTAAAGCTTTTTGTGTTAAGCTTGATCTTAAGAAAGCCTTTAACCATGTTGATAAGAATTTCCTCTATATTAGAATAGACAACCCCCCCCCCCCCCCCCCCCCCCAACATTTATAAAATGGGTAAAAACTTGCACTTCTTAAGTGCTATTATATATCATTATTAATGAGGAAATGCATCGGTATTTCAACTTCAAACAAGCTCTTACATAGGTTTACCCTTTATCCCCCTTATGGTTTACTTTTATAATGGATGTTTTCTCTCGCCTGATGGATTCTAAATGCAGTGATGGACCTTACTCTCATATAACCAGATATAAGGCTGAAATATCTCACATGATCTATGTTGATAATCTCCTGCTTTTTGGGATAGCTAATAACAACAATCTCTTTCAACTTCAACACATTCTTACTATCTTTTGCAGGTGCACTTGCCTTACTGCTAACCCCAATAAATCCCTTATGTGTTTCTCAAAATTTGTTTGCTCTAATATGTAAGCTTTATTGCTTAATTATTTCAGTTTAATTTAGGGCCACGCCTCTTCCATAGAATTTCTTGAGGATTCCTATTACTAGTATTAAGCTTAAGCATTCTGACTACTCCATCATACTTGAGAAATTAATGAGATGAATTGGTGGTTGGAAACAAAAAATTCTCTCATTGAAGGAAGATTTTAACTTATTTAATCAATTTTATGGAAATATATTTATTATTGGGTGAGATCAATCATCCTTCCAAAAAAGCTTAGAAAGAAAATAACTAGTTTGATTAACAATTTCCTGTATAGACAAGAGAGGCATTCCAAACTCATATTATCCCCTTCATATCCACTACCATCAATAGGGATTGGGGTGGATGGGGTTTAGAAAGGAAGCTACTTATTCATTTTTGGCACATTTATGCATATTTCTTAGTTTTGGTGCACTTTGCACATATTTTAATTTTTGGCGCGCTTTATTCATGCTTTCATTTTTAGCACATTTTACATATCATTTTATTTTTAGCTCACTTTGCACATCTTTTTATTTTTGAAGCACTTTGCTCATCTTTTTCTTTTTATAATTAACTTCATTTATATTCCTTTAAAAGAAGATTTTCTTAGTTATAAGATTATCTTTCAAGCATAAGCGAAGTTTATTCACTCTCTTATATAAGTAAGAAGAATCTACAAAGTAAATCCGGTTTTATAGTAAGCATGAACAACTTGATTAAGAAAATTGTGAAGTAAATTCATCAGCATGCAAAAGATGCCCATGAGATATAAAATTATAAGAAGATGAAAAAAAAATGAAAAAAAAAATATTTCTAAGTACAATTTCAATTTGATATAAATTTTAATTCAAAATTTAAATCACCCACACACGTTATGAGAGATAGAGAATATACTATTTTTATTGATTATCATGAATTTTATTCTTTAGGTGTTTAGAGAAGTCAACCACAACTTACTTTATGTTTTTTTTTTAAAAAAAAGAGAGGTAAATTTCTATTAAGAAAAATAAGTCAACTACTCTCACAAAAAATTTTTCTTCAAAAGTTTGCCTTATATTTTGACTTTCAATTTTTTCTCAAATTAACTTTTTTTTTTAATTAAATTCTATATATGTCAAATTTATGGACATTGTCATTGAAAATAGAATTTAGATTTTTAAATGATTTGAATTATGACCCAATCCAAATGAATTCATACTAGGGAATTGAATGAAATTTAAATTTTGATTCAAATCAAAAGAATTAAAGTAGTTTGATTTTGGATTTGAATTTCATAATTTAGGATAAAGATCTAGTAAACTCAAAAATTTTTTAATCTAATATTTATGTATTTAAAAATATATTACCTTCACTAATGATGAATAGAAGATGATGAAATAGAAAACAAATATCTTAAACTAGGCACCAAACAAGAAATATATATAGAAGAGAATAATATAACATTCAAAGACAGAGAGAGAAACATGTACCATTGTGGTCGCCATAAATCTACTAGTCTTCCAAAGAGAACTGCTCACGAAGGTTAGGATGCAAATGATGCGATCGCACTATCCTATAGGATAAAATGGTTAGAAGACTTTACACTATATACAAGCAAGCCAATTAAAGAACAAATAGAATCATATATATGATTATCCATAGAATATAGGAGATTTAGCCTACACATATTGATGGATAATGATATATAATTCAATAGTCATGAGATTTTCCCTATTTGATACATAAGCTAGAGTGAGATTTATTTAATATTGATGTAGATTTTTCATAGGCACAAGTCCCATAATTAATTGCATCTTAGGCCTAAAACTAAGAACACTCTCGATTAGGGACTCTATTTTATTCTCATATTGGGTTGGTGCATAGCGGAGTTCCTAGATTCTTCTAATCGAAAGGGGATAACTCTTCTCTTCATTTTTAGTGATGATTAGGTTTTTTAAATGTATGAAAATTTACTTAAAATTTTGAGTTTAGAAGTTTAAAATTTGATTCATTATTTTAAAAGAAATTATATATTCAAAATTTATTAAGAATTAGAGAAGACACACTTGAACTTATGTCTTCTTGGAGTGAATGAATAGCTAACATCCTATAAATCAATCAACACCTTATGCATATCCTAAGGAGTTAAGGATTTTAAATCAGTGATTTAAATTAAGGCTATACGAAATATACAAATAAATCTAATCAGCGACATGTATGACAATACATGAAACAAATACATAAAGAAAATATTTTATTTATTTATCAATATTAATGTCAGTATGAGTTCAGTTATATCTATTTATTAGTTTAATGTACTATCAGGTAAAAATCAACTTGAGTATAATTATAAAAATCAAGCAAGGACATGTTGTGTTTTCTTCCTTACATCTATTATATGTCATAATTATCAATATGTCAATCTTATCTTATATTAATCATTTATTTTTATAGACAATTTTCAATAATTATTTAAGAGTTATTACCCTCTACCCATATGCGTAATTCAATCAATTGATTACAAACTATAATTAAGATGACACCACCAACATATATGTTCTCCCTCATGCTCAGGATATTATATTTTAAGAGTCAACATGTATTCCTTATAATTTAATAGTTAGCTTTCCTTGCTTACATACAAATATTATATTTCCTATGCCATATAAGTTAATATCATATATGAAATGCAACAATAAAAATACTTGAAAATCTACAAAATTTATCTACCATTTACTTCAAAATTTTATAACATCTAATTTAACTAGTAAGAATTCAATATATTTTAGTTGAAATGCTCATATTGACAACATCTATTACATAACAAAAGTTATAGTATAAAAATTTTATCAATACTAAGTATCCTAATTTTTAGTAACATAAATACAATTAAAAAAATATCAAAAATATAAAATTATTGAAATAAAAAATAGGATAAAAGTTTCTTACAGTGGGACGAGCAAATTTTTTAATAGGGTTTGTGGATGAAAATCACCAAATTCAGTGATCTTATAGTCAAATTGAACATCCCAAGGATATGAGCGAAACTACACATAATTTAGTTCAATCTAAGTCCAAATGAGCTCAAATAAAAGGATTAAAGCATATTTGGAAGCTTCATAATATTAATTGGATAATCAAATGAACTTCAAATTATTGATGTTTGTAATCAAATTGAATGGCTCGACGAGACAAATCCAATGATCCT